TTTTTTAAAAAAAAATTAGCATGCAAAGCCAAAGGATAAATGGAGTTGTTAGATAGGCGCATTTTACAACAACAGTTAACTGTAAATCTATGAAAGAAGTGCATGGGAGGATTATTTAAATAGGGACAATATGTAATCCAAGCAGTATGTGCCTTCTGTATGAATAATGTGTGTTTTATATGTGTGTGTGTAAAATGGAATGTGAATGTAGAATAGGCAAAGACATATTTAGAAATAGCAAACTTATCTCATTCTTTGTTAGCAAGACTGGATTAAGATCTTTTGCTGCCCAGATAGGACAAGCAATTCCTCCCTCTCTATCATCTTTCAGGTTATTTTGTTTTCTCAGATAGAAAATTTTACAAATGTCTTTCTCTCCATTCTGACACTCAACCTGTAAGTAAATAAGCCCAAATTTCCCATTCAATTATATGATAAAATTCCTTTGTCTTCTCATAAAAGTCAAAACTAGGTGTTCCACACTGAATTTGAATACTCTTTAAAGTATTATTCCCACATTCATAGAGCAGAATTTCAGCTGGTTTTTGTCCTGTGATAGATTATTTTTAAAAAGTTTTGTAATTGTCAGTATTTGCAAAGTGTAAAGACTTTAAATATATATATTTTCTGCTTATTTAGGTTAGCTGTGCCTTTGAGACTTCTGAAGGGACTAAATTGGCAATGCAGGAACAACGCAACCCTTAAATCTACTTTCAGGCCATTATCCATATAATCCTCCTCCTCCTCCTCCTCCCCCCTCCTCCTCCTTTGCTTCCTGTTTTACCACTTTGGGTGTTGAGCGAGATACATCATTTTGGCTCTTGCTCTTCTGGGCTGCTTAAATTCAGATGGCCATGAGAAATATGCTTTGTTCTAGATGTTTTATAGACCAGATATTGTCAGACAAAGTAAGAAGAACTACACATATAAGGTTCAAACTCAGTACTTTATTATAGTCTGCCTAATATACAGGAATCTCCTCAGACTTCCAGCCTTAACCTAGGAACAGGTAGATAAGGTTCTTTTGAGTTTAAGGGGTGGTGGTATCAGTTCTGGACCTCCTGTGGATGTGCAAGGACTCAAACCTAATCCCACATTTGAGTCCCCCACCCTCGGGCTGGGTGTTTCCCAATATGATAGCCTAATATAAGCTGCCAAACTAGAATCAAATAGAATAGAATGAACTTTGGTGGTCTTCTAGTCCAGTTCCCTGCTCAAGAGGCTGATCCTTTACCATTTCAGACAAGTGAATGTCCAATCTCTTCTTAAAAACTTCTAGTGATGAAGCACCCACAACGTCTGAAGGCAAACTGTTCCACTGGTTAATTTTCTTCACTGTTAGGAAGTTTCTCCTCAATTCCAGGTTGCTTCTCTCTTTGATTAGTTTCCATCTATTGTTTCTGGTCCTGCCCTCTGATGCTTTGGAAAATAAATTGACCCTCTCTTCTTTGTGGAAGCCTCTCAAATACTGAAATATTGTCATGTTCCCCTTAGTGCTTCTTTTCTCTAGACCAGGGATCGGCAAACTTAAAGAGCCATTTGGACCCGTTTCCCACAGAAAACACCGGGAGCCACAAAGGTCCTAACCGGAACCCCCCCCCCCCCATTCAATTCTGGAGCTGACAGGAAGTTCAGTTCCCCCACCATAGAGTCTCCTCCTAGCATGGCGTACTTTTTCCTCTA